GTACATCTGACAGTGACCATTTTTACAACATGAGAGAAAGTTTCTTCATAGTCAAGACCYTCTCTTTGACTATATCCTTTAGCAACTAATATAGCTTTATACCTTTCTATCTCTCCAGAGGATTTATATTTAACCTTATAAATCCATTTACAGCCTATGGGCTTCCTTCCAGGAGGTAAATCAGTAATAATCCAAGTACCATTTCTGTATAGAGCTTCCATTTCATCATTCATGGTAGAAATCCATTTTTATCACTACAAGCTTCAGAAAAACACTCTGGCTCGATGGACTTGTTCAAATTTGACACAAAACAAAAAATTTCAAAATCCAGGTTAGAGTAATTTACCACTCTTTCTATTCCATACTTAACCTTGCCTTCTATTACAAAATCATCAAATTTTTTAGGAAAGTTGGAAGCTCTAGTCATTCTTCCGATGCTAGGACTAGATTGGAGATAGAAYTACCCTCARGTTGGAGATCTGAGTTTTCAGCATCATTGTTTCTTTGGTGAGCATCCAAAGATTGCACACCRGACCCTATACTATCTCTAGCATCTACCTCTGAGCTACTCAGTGGTTGCATACTGGTAACTCCTCCAGAATTTTCATTGAGGATATTTAGTCACCTAATTGTTGCCTACTGGCARCTCTACTTGGGCTACTACCAAGAGACAAAGATCAGTTATTTTCCTCCAAGAGAGTTTGATCTCTATCCTCATCATTGGGTGATAAATCAGAAAGATTAGTAGAGGAACCAAAGATAAGTCAAAGAAGTTCTGATTATTTACAGCACTGTTAACATGACTATCCAACTTGTTTGAACTCATTTTAAAGGGAAAAATAGTTTCACACCTAAAACCACACATTTCTCAGCTCATGAAGAAAATTTATTAGAAACGTTAGTTTTGGTAGCAAAATAAAGACAACCAAAATTCCTCAAATGAGTTAAAACAGGTTGGAATCCATAAACCAGCTCAGAATGACACTTTCCTCCTAAAATGGAGGAAGATGTTCTATTTATGAGATAAGTAGCAGTCAATATACATTCATTCCACATTTTTATAGGAATACCTCCCTGAAACATAAAAGTTATGGCCATGTTTAACAAATAACGATGTTTGCGTTCCACAACCCCATTTTGTTGGGGAGTATGAACACAAGACATCTGATAAATAACACCTTTAGTTTTAAAAAACTCACCTAAAGAGAAATTAGTAAACTCAGTTCCATTATCACTTCTAAACACCTTAACATGCTTGCCAAATTGAGTTCCTATCAAATAATAAAAAGACATAATATTATCAACCACTTCATGTTTACCTTTCAACAAATACACCCAAACAACACGAGTATAGTCATCAACTATAGCCAAAAAATACTTAAAACCTTCCTTGCTAATAACCCTATAAGGACCCCAAACAACTAAATGAACAAGATTACCTAGGGACTTAGATTTATGATCACTTGAACTGAACTTTTCCCTAGTTTGTTTTGCCATATGATAAATTTCACAAGGATGAGTAACATCACTTCCAATCTGCAACTAATCTTTTAAAACAATCAAGACTTGATCGGGAGAATGATCCAGACGACTATGCCACAATTGACTCGAAACACAATTTTGAACTACAGAAGAAGCAGAAACAGGGAGCAACTTACTCTTAGCACATTGGTCAAAAAAAAATACAAACCACCTTCTTGACTACCAATCCCCGTTACATTCTTTTGATGAGAAATATAACATCGAGATTCATCAAACCCCACATACAACTTATTATCTCTAGCAAGTTTATAAACATATAACAGATTGACATTGAAGTCAGGAACCATTAAGACATCAAACAGAGTAACATTGTTAGATAACTTTAAATTTCCAATTTTATTAACTTTTGCCTCTGTTCCATTGGGATGCTTAACCTTTAGATTTAAATCTGAAATGTCAACCATATTGTCCAAAATTTGAAAAACTAGATGCCATATGTTGGTTGTSTCCTGAATCAATAATCCAACCATATTTATAAAGARTTGACACACTTGTCATATTAGCAGATAYAGTCTTAGGAGCGYTATTTTGATCCAACAAAGCAAGGAGTTTAAGCACTTGTTCTTTAGAAAGGGAAGGTGTGGAAGAATGAAGAGGTTTTTCTTTTCCATGAGAGTCTGTTACACAACCCTTACTAGACAAGGACTTAAAACCAGAATTTGATGGTTTAGGTGGTCTATTTTGAAAATCCTTTGAAAAACCATTGAGTTTGAAACATCTTTCAATAGTATGGCCAGACATAYCACAATGTTTGCATAGTTTATTGGATGGATGCCTWCCTGTCCTTCTTTTATTTTCACCAACTTTGCTAAAAAGGGTAATGTTTTGACTTTTGATACCAAAAGACACACTAGAACCCCCAAAATGGGATTATTGCTTAGACATAAGGGAAAAAAAGAAAGGGATCCCTTGAAAGTATATATTGCTCCTGATAGGTTGATAGACATTATCAAGACCCATTAAAAACTACATAAGCATTATTAACTAAGACTGATTAAAGAACTCTTGAGAGGCATTACAAGTGCAGGTGGGAAGAGTAACAAGAGCATCAAACTGTTTCTAGAGGAAATTTAGTTTGTGATAATACTCAGAAACAGAAGACCCAATTTGATTTAAACAGTTAATTTTTTGATAAAGATTAAATGTAACTGATCCATTAACTTTGTCATAGGTTTCTTTTAAWTCTTCCCAAACTTTAGAGGAGTCCTTTGAAAACACTTGACCCAAAAACAAATCTTCAGTTACAGAACTTAAAATCCAACTCAACATAAYAGAATTACATTTAATCCATTGTTTTTCAAGGACAGAGTCATCAACAGGTCTAACACAAGTTCCATCAATAAATCCGAATTTGTTCTTGGTTTCAAGAGCCAAGGTCATAACACAAGCCCATATTTGATAATTGTCAATACCACTTAACTTGAAGTTTAAAATGGGTGTTCCACTGGTGTCACTAGGATGAAGATACAAGGGATCACCAAAATCTAATTTAGCAATTTGGGACATCCCTTGAGTCTCAATGACAGCTGATGGACCAGCCATGAGAAAGAACAARAACAAACAACCACAACAACAGTGGACAAGATAGCAAACAACAGGATTCCTAAAACACTCAGAGGTGCTARATCAAACTAACTATCTAGCCACACGACAGAGATCACAAAAACAAAAAAGAACAACAACAAAAAAAGGTAGACAAGAAAGCAATAGGCAGGATTTCTAAAACACTCAAYGGTGCTAGGTCAAGCCAGACTATCAAGCCACAACTTTCAAGCCATAACCAAAAGAACCATATAACAAAAAATAAGCAGCAAGAAGAAGAACCTGCCTATAGGCCAAGAACACTTACTCGGTCCCCTTGCTACGGACAGGAAAGGAAAGATGACTTACCCAAGTTCTTGAGTGACCTAGAGCAAGAGGAGAACACCACAGGTGACTCCAGTAGTATAACAAAGCTTTAACCACAATAACAACAAAAAACAACCAGAACCAAAACAGGGCCTCGCACAACGGAGAACTGGTTATAACATCTTGGATAACACCAAGAGTAAAAGAAAAAAAGTACCAGAAAACTTACCCCAATCGATTACATGAACATAGAAATGTTCTTCGATGGGAAGAACATGCAGAAAACCAAACCCAAGGAAGAGAAAAGAAAATGTAAAGAAACTTACCTGCARCTTGGAGAAAGGATTGATCTAAGGAGAAAGATCTTGATTCGACCAAAGAACAATCAGATGTAAAGAACACAGATCTATAGAAACCAACGGTCGCTCTTCGCAACGACGAAGGCAAACAGTAAACCACCAGAACAATACGTTCTATACAACTTAGAACGAAAGAACCTCTGATACCATGTTCAAACGAAACAACCTTTTATTCATGAACAAAAAGTAAACAGAAACCCTAACAAAACTCTAAGAACTCTCAAGATGATGAGAGCCTTTACAAAGAAGATAGATTTGAAAGAGGAAAAATGAATCGATTGATCTGGAAAGCTACAATACAAAAGTTTATATATTCAGCTGGAAAAATACACAATCAGTCCCTCACAACTTAACTCAAGTCCTCAAGATTCCACAAATTTACAAAAATAACCTTTTCAACATAATTTCCTACAAATAACACCAGAAAACATATAAATGACAAATTGAAGACCAATACACAATATATGATAGATATTAGGAGATAATTTTGAAAAAACAAACGACCCAAAACAAAATGAGAATAACAGTAAAAAAGAATATAATATTTTAAAAAATATAGACATACTTACACTACAACAAAATTGGGTTTATAGGACACTCTCAATTTCTAAGCGTCCTGATAGACCTCTTTATAGGAACAAGAAAATAAAGCGTCTTATCTAAAGGTGTTGTAATAAGTTTATATGACGTTTTTTGACGTCGTAATAAGTTTTTTAAAACATTTTTAATATAAAGTGCTATTTGAAAAACTACCCTATAAAAACAAATGTCCTATAAAAAATTGAGTTTATAGGACATTTTCTCAAAAATGTCATATAAAGTTGTTAATGCAAAATTTTGTATTAAAAATATCCAAAAAAACTTGTTAAGGCCCCCAAAAGCGTCATATAAACTTATTACAACACCTTTAAATAGTACATTTTATATTTTGATCCTATAAATTAACTCCTATAAGACGGTCCATTGGAACGCTTAGAGATTGGAGTTAAACTATAAACCCAACTTTATTGTAGTGTTAATAGTTGGTAATAAAGAACGAAATAAAATAACAATAATAACTACAACCACACAGTACTCTTTCCCATGTGCTGATTTTGGTTTCACAAATGGACGAGAGGATTCATTTCTGCCACCCAAAAGAAATTTAAAAGTACTTCCATATTATAAGAATAAAATAAAAATAATCTGAAAAACAATAATTAAAGAAGTATTTATATCATCTACCACAGTTTCTTTTTGAATAAAGAAGTCATGGAGTTCCATCTCTGGTTCCCAACAATTGTAGCAATTACATTTACCATTACTATAGTAGCTTCCTTGATCCATGTCGTCAAGGGGACGTGGGCAAAGAGAGGGAAGAAAATTGAACCACCTCAAGCAAAGGGTGCATGGCCCATAATCGGACACCTGCATCTTCTAGGTGGATCTCACCTACCTCACTTCGTTTTAGGTGATATGGCCGATGAACATGGCCCTATCTTCACCATCAGGCTTGGTATTCACCAAGCTCTGGTGGTGAGTGACTGGAAGATGGCCAAGGATTGTTTTACCACAAACGACAAGGCTTTTGCAAGTCGACCAAAATCAGAGGCAATAAAACTCATGGCCTACAACTATGCCACGTTCGGGTTCGCTTTGTATGGGGATTATTGGCGACAAGTGCGCAAGATAATCATGCTCGAGGTTCTTTCTCAACAACGAGTTGAGATGCTTGGACGTATTCGAGTTTCAGAAGTTAGAACGTCCATCAAAGACATATATGATGTTTGGGTCGAGAACAAAGAGAGTGAAAATGCAGATGAGGTAAAGGTGGAGATGAGCCAATGGTTTGGCAACTTGATGGTGAACATTATGGTTAGGATTCTTTCAGGAAAGAGGTTTTTGCCAAACGATGATGAAGGGGTTCGATTTCAGTTGGTGGTTAAGAAATTCTATGACTTGGTTGGGGCATTTGTGGTGTCTGATTTTATCCCGTATCTCAAGTGGTTGGATGTGGGTGGATACATCAAAGCTATGAAGAAGACGGCGAAAGATTTCGACAACATCTTTGATGGATGGTTAAAGGAGCACAAAATAGAAAGAGAGTCTGAACAGCAACGTGAAGGCAGCCAAGTTTTCATGTCTGTGCTTATTTCCATTCTTGAAGGTGCTTCTGAAGAGGATTTCCATGGTTTTGACCAAGATACAGTTATCAAAGCCACATGTCAAGTAAGTTAAATTCTGTCATATCCTAAATTGGTGGTTCTACATATCTTACAAGTTATAGACATATTAATGTTCCATTGAACTCAGAACCAACTTAACTTGTTTGGAAAATCTATCTTGGTTTACAGTATTTTCTGGTATACTTTTCAATAACCTAATCCAAGTGATTTTGGTGTAAATTTCTTTTCACAGCAACTTCTTGTAGCAGGCTTGGACACGACATCTTTGACTTTGACATGGGCTCTATCATTGCTGCTGAACAACCCAAAGGCATTGAAGATTGCCCATGATGAAATTGACGAGCATGTTGGAAGGGACAGACTAGTGGAGGAGTCAGACCTGAAGAACTTGGTCTACCTTGATGCCATCATCAAAGAAACATTGCGTCTGTACCCAGCTGGACCTCTCTCGGTTCCCCATGAGTCCATGGAGGACTGCGTTGTGGGTGGCTACAACATCCCAAAAGGCACTCGTCTGTTGGTAAATCTTTGGAAACTTCATCGTGATCCAAACATCTGGTCAGATCCCTCGGAAGTCCGACCCGAAAGGTTCTTGGCAAGTCACAAGGATATTGATGTCAAGGGAAAACATTTTGAATTGCTTCCGTTTGGTAGTGGTAGAAGAATGTGCCCTGGCATTTTCTTTTCACTCCAGGCTTTGCGTTTAACACTAGCTAGTTTGATACAACAGTTTGTGCTAAAGAGGCCATCAAAGGAACCCATTGATATGACTGAAACCTCAGGATTGACCAACAGCAAAGCAACACCGCTTGAGGTCCTTCTGTCCCCTCGTTTATCATTTGATATGTACTGTGTTGGTTCTTGATGGATCATCTACACCACCCACCATTCGCTATAATTAAAGCCACTATGAACCTAAAAAGTGATGCAATTTGGACAACCAAGGCGGAATAAGATCAATTTGTATTAGTGTGATAATTCTTGGTAATTCGAGTGAACAATCTAATAATCCTCTTTTGATTTAGTGAAATACAAGCATTGTGTGCGTATTTTACTCGTTCTTTGTACAATCCCTAGTTAATTATTTTTGTTGATCAAAGTTCTATCGATCAAATTATTTTTCATCACTTGTTGGGAAAGGTTACATTTTTAATTTCAGCGCATGATCACGGCCGGACATATGTATATATGTCCGAATAGGCTCCCGTGCAACCGCTCAACTTATTTTTGCAACTAAGATTTCTGTTGAAGTATGACAAATGCACCCGTTAAACTTTGAGGGATGCGCCAGGATATTAGAAAATATAACAAAAATCAACCAAATAAATCAAAAAAGGTACTTTGAAATGAACAAAAAACCGAAACATTCTCTCAAAAAGAATCCGCTATAGTACAAAAATGAATTTTTTACACGTTTGTAAGCGATCATAATTTTACAATCGTGTAAAGAGTTACGATGTTAAAAAATCATGTACATTTTTACGCAGTTCTAAACATAAAATAGTTTAAAAATGATCTTTTTAACACAGTTGTAGGTGCCCTTTTTACCATAAAGAGGTTATCATGTACCTGCAACCACGATCATCGCCACCCGCTTTCATCGATCGTTTTTATCATTTGTCCCTCCTCTTGCCGATCGAACTCCAACCACCACAGCATACATATCCTACATCACCGCTACTGTTAGGTTTCTTCATCGACGATGCACCTCCAAATCTCCATCAACGATGCACCAACAAAGACAATGACCCACCCCAAATATAGATAAACTCGATCTCCATTAATCCAATTTCTTTTGGTTTTCTGTTTTAGATTTTTTTGTTCATTTTTTTAGATTTGGGTGGATCACAATGGATCACAGTATTTATGTGGTTTTAAATGATGGATCACAATATATTTATGGGGTTTTAAACAGTGGATCATAGTGTAATGTAATCTCTCTTGTTTTAAAAATCTGGTGTTCGTAAAGGTTTTAACAACAAATATAGGGTTTTAAAGAGTGGATCACAATGTGATATAATCTTGTGCTCTAAAGATCTAGTGTTTACAGTGTTCACAGATGTTACAGTGGAACATATTGAATCGTGTGTTTGAAAGATCTGATGTATCACAATATGGTGTTTCATGGTCGTAGTGTTTATAAAGTGTATCATAGTGGTAATGTTCACAATTTTTAAGAGTTTCTTGAGTATATCACAATGGTACGATATATATAAAGTGATAATTTATCACAACGTGTATCACGGTGGAATGTTCATATAATGTATCACTGGCTAATGTTCACGATGGAGGGGAAGGGAGAGATAAGAGAGAAAAGAGGAGAGATAAAAAATTTAAAATACCTAAAACATCCTTTAATTAAAATTTTAAGTCAAATTTGCCAAAATCATTAATTTTCTAATTTAACCTTTGATTTGTTGTTGATATTGGATCTCATGGTTATCACAAACAACCGAGTTCTCTCTTGAACGCCCCCCTATATATTTATATATAGACCAAAATTATGCACTATAAATGATGGCATGCTTAATAATATATATATATATATATATATATAGAGAGAGAGAGAGAGAGAGGAAGGATCATGCAAGAAGCTAAAGATTTATGAGAAGACAAGAAGTTTCAATATCATATATGATTAGACTACTTTGGTTGTATTTAATCATATATGATTTAATGTCTATGTGTTATCAATGCAATGTGTTTAATTATATATGTATATATAGGGGTTGACACATTTGTTACCATATATTTGGTGTTAACTATATACGTGAACCAATCATAACCTTTAACTTATTTAATATACAGACCAAAACATCAGTGTAATTTTTGTATTAATAGTAAAATGAACGTGTTTTATGTCATAATGACCAATAGAGAAGAAGGTAAAATTGGAAAAAAAATCAGGAGCTTCTATTATGCACCGATTTCAGTTTTCGAGAATCTTTCCTTCATCGTTTTGAAACTGAAATCAATCACATTTTACTTGTTCACTTTATGAATGGTTTAGTAGTTCACCAATGAACATTTATATGATAAGTAACAAAATATGGTAGTTATGCAAATTGTTGACTGACGAACCTTTGACCAATTATTTGTGTAGTTTTGTCCCTGGTTCACGTATGAATATCATGTGAACTAGGTTAAGTAATGAACGTGTTATTCAAAACACCATAAACGAAGAAATAATCTGAATTAATATATTGAATGTCATTGTATTCATCTTGATTATCCATCATTCAAATTAATTTGAACATTAATCATTGAGAATCTTGAAAAGAATGATATAATTATCATCTCTAAAAGTAAGCAATTTTTTTTTGTAACATATTATTTAATACAATGAAATAACTTATAAATGAAAATTACCTATGTAGCTCAACACTACCTCAAAATGTCACGTAGGCAACAAATGAAAAATGTTGCCTAAGAGGGGTTTATATGTTGCGTAAGGCTTCGGCAACAAACTAGTGTTTCCTAAGCAGTGTTGCATAAGAACCAAGGCAACATATGCAAACAACTTATGTTGCCTAAGCGGACTTCTTAGGCAACATGCAAAGGTTATGTTGCCTATGTAAAAAACATAGGTTGCGTAAGACATCAGCTTAGACAACATAATCTATCTGCATATGTTGTCTTATATATCAGCTTAGACAACATATTTTATCTTAATATGTTGCCTTAGATATCAGCTTAGATAATATACTCTATTTAGATATGTTGCCTTTGAACTGTAATTAAAATAATATAATGTTTCTTTTAGGCAACATTTATATTGTTTAATTGTTGCCTAAGATTTTTGTGTACCATGATGCAGTTTTTTGCTTGCACACTTTCTACAAATGAATCTCATAAACAAGCAAACAAATGTTTTATACAAACAACTTTTATAACCAAACAAAAATAATAAGTTCAATAATTGGAAGATAAAACTTTTCCTAAATAAGTCTAAAAGTGGGCAACAAGTTCAATAACACAAAATAAAAAATTTATCCTAAAGCGTGAGAGGTCGGAGTTGTTGTGTCAAAGTTTGAATCACTAGAACCCGACATAGTTATCAACGATTGTATCATCTTTCTTTGCTCGGTGACTTCCTTTTTTGCCTCATTTTGTCCCTTTGTTAGCAAGTGAATCTTCTCGTCGTGCTCGGCAGGTTGTCGCTGCAAATCTTCTTCGTCAACTGAAGATACCGGCTTAGAGAATCCCTTTGTCGGTTCTCTCATCCTCGCAGGTCGAACCGCCAAGCTACCCATACCTCGAAAAACCGTTCCTACCGACGGACCAACAATTTGCTCGATGATTGATATTTCTTTTTCGATTGGGTAGCGAATTGGAGCCCGACAGATTCTGGAGTGCCATTAGAAACGCTCTTAATCTTCTCAATCTCTTCCTCAACAAGTTTCTATAAATACGATTCAAACAATTGTTGTAATTACAATTATATATTCCCCGTCAATCATCCTTCATTAATGAGTTAAAATGGTAACAAACGAACTACAGCTTTGCGATACTATGGTATTTTGAGCATATCTCACTCTTCCAAGCTCATATTAAAGTGATTAAAGATGATCTGGAAAGCTAACAAACGGCCTACAACTTTTGAGTTTTGAGTTTCTGTAAATTCAGGATGAATCTAAGCTAAAACGAACGTTAAAGGTGGAAAAGTGATGCTGAACAACAAAGGAAAAAAAATATACAAATCACGATCGCACGAAAATAAAAGTTCAAGTTTACTTACTTTACGGTCTTCACTTGTAGTGGTATCGGCAATTGTACCAAGATAAGGAGCCACGTGTTCGGTAGCTTCGAGTTTATTAGCCCTAAACCGGAACAAAGGCGGTCCCAATTTATTATTGATCCTATTTTTTGACAACCTTGCTTCCGACATTCTCTTTGATTTATTCTACAACAGAAGAAACACTTATTTTACAATCTAAACTCAAAAAGATAATTTATATATTTAATTATTTACTCATTAAATACCTTCCATGTTTCTTTCTCAAAAAGCATGCACAAAAAATCCCACCGATCTGCCGATGTACAAAGTTCATCGAGATTGGGAGACGACCTTGCTTCTTATATAATACATGACAATAAGTTTTCCACCTATTATATGAGTGACACGCAGTTAGGTGGATCCAATCAAATAATGCATCACCCAGAGGTCCATTCCAATCAATCTCAAATAAAACCTGAAAAGCGAATACAAATCAAAATGAAATAAAAAGTTAAGCATTATTAATTAATAAGACATAAATCATCAAAAAATAATAATAATAAGAACTAGCAATAAAAATATACTTATGCTAAGTTGATCAACCACAATCTTGAGTTCATCTTAAGTAAGTTTTAAATAACTATCGGTCAACATCGGAATATGCTCTCGATTTGCTTTGCGATCCTACAAACTTTGTTTGTGTCGGGTAATTTTTTTTCCATGTTCCACTTAAGAAGAAGTCGGTTATTTTCTTTGTTAGCGATGTCTCTCTTAATCGCCTTTCCAGTAATAATTCCTCATCTTGCCTTTTTTGTAACTGGTTCTTCCATCGGTTCCACTTGGATGTGGCGACAATTGATACGTATATCTAGAGCAAGTGGCCCACTACTAGGTGTGCTCGTCTCTGGTGATGTCGGTGTAGATGGTGAGTCCAAAGACAGAGGGTACAATTGGCGTTGGACGGAAGGTGTCGCCTCTGACGAGATATCCATCTAATCACCCTCTAGCCGTGTCGTAGTCCGCCCCAAGACCGACGCCTTCGCTAAATTAAATGTTTGAGTTCTTTTTGGAGGCATATAGATCTACAAAAAAAAATAAGGTTTAAATAAAATTCTTATTTATACATAAAAATGATCAAACAATACAATTCAACAAATAA